TTTTAGCCTCCAAGGTTAAGCTCACGTGGAATAATTAAAATATTAGATATTAGAGTTGATATTTGGCTTGATAAGTGACCACACATATTTAACAGAAAAAATACTGGCTGGCAGTACACAGTATTATAACAGGATTAAGAGCACGTTTACCTTAATACAGTACTATGATTGTTGGACTGACGAATGTGGCACCTTTTTGATTATTCTTGCCCTGAAGTCAACGAGAAATCCTCAAGGAAGACATTCGCTTTATTTTATGTGAGCCAGCGCATTGATCTTGGCGGACAGTGGGGTTACAATAACCCCCTCTGACTGTACACATACTTTATTGTCTCTGCTCACAGCATTTGTTCACTTGAAGTTTTGGGGAAAACCCAACAAAAGTTCCTCACTGGAGCCGAAGAGCAGTGTCTACATTAAACGCACAGCACAGATAATTCAACTGTCGCCACGCAAGCACTAAAAGTGTGTTAAAAACAAGCTCACATCAGCTCACTGTACTGCCCCAAAATTCAATGCAATTGTGCTTTCACGTTAGAATGAACATCGTGACTGTCGCCAAGTCCAACATTCAGAGTGCATTAGACTTGAAAAAAGATATATATTCTATATATACACACATATACTTCACTTACCTTCTGCAAGCAGGCGCACCGCATGCACAAAGGAGGGGTCCAGGCTGTTTTTCTCGGACACCAGCTCAGGTAGGTACTTATCTGGATGCATCTTTATCACAGCGGACCTCTTCACCGGCAGTGCAGGTGAGACGACAGGAGTGCTGAACGTCACAATGCAACTATAACCCTTGCCGCTCCTGCTTCTTGGTAGCTGTAGTCTACCGGTCTTAATGAGGAACACCAGCAAAACCCCCTCCAAAAATTGGTCTTCCAGTGTCTCCCGAGATGCTTGACTGGGGTAGGGGTGGGGGTGCTGATTTGTGATTCAAAGGTGTGAGCCCATCTCTGCTACCGCTGCCTGCTGCCTCTCCTCGGCACCCCGCCAGACTCAGTGGGTCTGCAGACCGCGCTGCTCCCCGCCCCTCAGCAACATTATTGGCCATATTCTGGGACTGGCGCTGCTGAAACACCAAGAAAGGTCCCCACTGAGCGTAAAGGAAATGCTCAGTGTTCTTTAAGGGAATTGTTTTAAAAAGGATGGGGTTGCATTTGGTTGCTGTTGACAACGGTCTCTGAAGCTGGAAACTTTAATAATATTGGATATAGTACTCCGCGGAGAACAAATAAAGCATGCTAGTAAAGTTTTGTTGCGCTAACAGACTGTACCATATAAATGTCGCTTAATTAAATGGGTTTTTTATGCAGCTCGTGAGTTTCAAAGTAACTACAAAGTCAGTACAAAGTAGCCCGCAGGCATTCACCTGTGAGGGACAACACAACTATTCATGGTGCTAAACACTGGCTGCTGTCTGATTTGTTTGTACGTATTGAATTTGTCTTAGATAACCAAAAACTAGCTTACAGCATACTATTCTTCAGACTCCACATCACATGATCCACTTCATTAACTCTATTCCACACGCTAAAGCAGGGGTGTCAAACATAAGGCTTAGGGACCAAAATCAGTCTGGCAAAGACTCCAATCCTGCCCCACTGGACAGCTTTGGAAACTGTCGACAAAGGCATAGATAACTTTTAACTGTATTTTCGTGAGTTTTACACTTTTGCCTTTTGATAAAGGTTTA